GTAGTTTTTATTTCTATTACAGATGATACGACAGAAAACATAAATAAAAAGGTAATTTTTCGTATTTCCACACCAATTGTTTTATTGACTATACATAACAATATGACCAGAGAATAAATAAGACAATGTATTTAGAAGTGTGTGCGTGATGATACCAGATTAGTGGTATGCACTGTGGTCGCAATAAATCATACATCAGTGAGAATGTGTAGGACCAACAGTGAGGCGTTACGCCACGTGTCTGCTACGTCACCTGATGACGCACCGAGTGATTTACGACGTGGTGCGCTGTTGAGATTTATGTATAATTCGTATAATACGGTACGCCGCCTTCTGTATATTTTTGTGTAATCCATTACAATTATGCGGCGTGCTGGGTTCAGTTAATTTGACATTTCCCTCTCGCGTCATTTGTTTATTAGCAAAGAATTGGTACGAGCTGAATCTTCAATTTTAATGGAATAATCCATTTTTTATAACCGGTTTCCAAAACAAAATTAGAAGGATGTTCGTCTTCATTATAAGTCACTGTGACCTGAAAGGCCTTTTGTAAAGTCAAAGTAGCCCTTTTAGCAGGCTAACGGTTGCCTCTAAGAAGTATATAATATTCCTAGCTTTCAGAGCTTCTAAATCTTCTGGGCTGATTATGTATCGTCTCAGATGTATGTTCGTTCCATTTATTTACGTAACTTTCTCAAAATCATACATAATATGGTAGACACCTGGACAACTCTTCGTTTGTTCTTGCGAAACAGACTTAAAATAATTTGGAAATGAAAAATACTTTAAACATGCAGTTTCAGGCATTCTGAGAAGAGTTTTGATCCTACAACCATTCAGCTACCCGAGAATCTCTGATTACTGCTAGCCACCTGTTATATCTACTCCGCTTAATGTCCACGATCTCGTACTTAAAAACATCACATAGATTATTATCATATTTACTACAGTGCGTTACCAGAAAGTCCAGCACAAACGTTCTCTCACGCATGTGTCCGATCTTATGCTTCACTGCTAAATATTTTATCTTTCATGGGTAAGCTTTCTCCAGCTCAATACTCTACAATACAGTCGTTGTCTACTGCAAATATAATATAATAATAACCATAGTCGTGTCGAGTGAAGATGATTTTTGGTAAAACTGGAGAATATTTTTAATTATCACAATACATCAATATTATCAAAATATGAGATATTTACATACATCTTCGCCAAATAAAACCCAATTGCCCGATAATTTAAAATAAACATTTAAAATTTAATTTGCGAAACGGTAATGATTTTTTGCGGGTAGGCAATGACTGCTTTACAGATTAGAGTATTCTTGTACTGTACGTGTTTGTGTACTGGCAACGATATTTCCGCCACGTTTTCCTTTGCCGTCATAGCGTTAAATCCTATTAATATTATAAATGTGAAAGTTTCTTTGTTTAGATGTTTGTCGGTCAATCACGCCGAAACTACTGAACGGATTTTGATTAAATTTGGTATACAGATAGGGTATTAGCTGACTTAGATTCTAGGATACTTTTTATCCCACTTAACATTTCCCTAGGGTCCACGCGGGTGAAGCCGCTGGCGAAAGCTAGTGTTGAATACTTTTTATTTTATTTTTTACGATTTATATATACGAGTATTTGTTTATATCTCTTTTTCTCAAAGAATTGTGTATTATTATTTTTCTTCTGGTGTGTATTCTAACTTGGGCTTATTTTTCGTGCCTGTGATTAATCTCTCTGTAGTCAATGCCGTCAAAAAAGAAAGTGATCATTTACAGATACGAGGCTCATCAACATCAAGCTTAAAAGATCCCGACTGATTTATCAACGCTCTGACCAAAATCTACATAAGTTTAAAATACCGAGAGCTATTAAGTCGGCTTTCACAATCGCTTCAAAACACTTGAGACCAATTTAGATGTGGATGATCTAAACAGCACGGTGTTGGATACTATCTGGACGATATGATATGTATTTCAAAACCTGCCAACCAAGAACAAAGAAACTTTTTGACAACATACTCCAATCTATGAAATAAAGCTACAGAACTCAGCAGTTGCAAATAGTTATCTGCAGTTGAATAGACATATATGTATTTAAATGTATAAGTTAAGACCTTCACCCATTTGACACAAATCGTGTTAAAAAGGCTATCGAGGGAAATAAAGGCTCCAGAGTTATAACTAGAGAGCTGTCTATTAGACAAAGCCAATATCTGACGATGGTATTGTGATTTCGGTTAATAATTATATCTTGACGAAATACTCTACGATTTGGTCCAGACATCTATCCAAAGGTGTCTAGTAAACATTGTTACAATACACCTCAGCAACTGGCTGAATCTATAGGCGCATAGTTCGTGACAAAATACTTTACCCATCAGGAAATCTATCTATTTTTCTCGTTAACTATAACATTCGTATTATCGAAAAACAATGTAATCACTATTTTATATGTGAACTGTAGTGGTCCAGGACTTAAATAAGTTTAACATAAATAATTCTCCGTAAGTTTAGTATTAAGTCTTTTCAATGAACGTTTAGGACACCGACGGTCCACTGCACAAACGCCAATTAAGGTTTAATGACGCCTTTAAGCTTATTTTTAATGCGTTCATTAATGAAATTGGTACCAAATCGATGAAGTTCCCATCAGCAAGGGGACAACACAACGGTATCCTGGCTGACGCTATTTTAAAATTATGACACCCCAGGTACCAGTTTGGTAAAAGGTTAGCAATGAGGGTAATTTAAAGCATAATGGAGCTTCGAAGCTCTATGACACATTGATCAAACACGATAATAATAACATGTAGTAATTAGATTTTAATTACATAATTATTGTGTTGAAATCATTTCAAAGTTTTAGTGTAGGCGTCCTCTTAATATTAATCACTGGTATAGTGTTTTTTTTTATGAGCCCTGAAAAGTTTTTCCGCACCGAGACCATTAATTACCTACGAACAAACTCCGAGTGCTTTTCCTCATACTGACGCCGGTATAAGCTCAGACATTTAGTTTTCCTTCGAGAAAAGCTTTTTACTTTTTTTTACACTAAAAACAGATATCTATTGATTTCAGACAATCTGATAACGAGCATCGTTTAAGGTAAATTTATTATCCTTAGCCTATTACCCACACTGCTGGAATACAGATTTTATGGGTGGAATTGAATCAGACAGAATGGAACATGACTCACCACGCGGGCCTATTGCTGCCAGGTGATGATAAAGACTGCAGATGCAACTGACACCAACGGCTAAGGGTTCCTTTTAAAGTACGGAGGCAATCGAGACAGGAAAATTTTGGTCACCCATCCTATGACTGGCTTTTGTGGACGTTGCTTCAAGACCGAACGTGCAAACCACTACGCCATTGCGCTCTACGTATATAATTAATCGTAGATATTGTATTTTTTTAATGTTGAATGAGCTTTGATTTCGTACAAAATTGTTACGGCATTGTTGATGGAATATGTCAGAAACATTAATAAGGGGGGACACAGAACAGAAAAAAGAGGACAGTAAACAATGGAATGAAGTTAAATTGTTTCGATATTGATATCCTTCAGAGTATTTCAAATAGAAAATTAAACAAAAAGTATTTTTATGTTTCGTCATCATCTTCGTCAGCCCTGTTACATACCTATTGCAGGGGCTCAGGCGTTCCTTATGGATGGTTAAGGAGGATGGGCCATAACCCTTCGCGCTGGCCCAATGCGGATTGGAGGGTATTAACTACTGCAAACGCGGCCGGGACTCAGGAGTACGTTTAGACATACACTCCCTTTACTACCTTTACAGTCTAATAATTGTTACAGTTGTCTTATACAAACATATTGTTCCACAAATATATTAATTCTAATAGGTTATTATTATTTTAAACTAATTTTTTTCGCTTTCATAATTCTTCATAATTCTTCCTAGCTTTTTTTAAGATGACACATATTTAATAAGATAATATAATAAATACAAAATTACAAACACAAATAAAATTTTTGTAAAAATAATTCTTTCGGCTATTAAGGTACGAGTAGCAATCACTACATAGTATAAAACAAAGTCGCTTTCTCTGTCCCTATATCCCTATGTGTGCTTAAATTGCGGTACAGAGGCGGTTTTTTTCATAGATAGGGCAATTCAAAAGAAAGGTTTTTATGTATAATACAAGACCACGCAGGCGAAGCCACAGGCGGAAAGCTAGTCTTATATAAATATCGATTCAAATATTTTTATTAAGAACGAAGGTAAAATCTACTAAAAATATTTGGCAGACCCGTTAGGTCTATGGTTCAGTTAAAAGAGCATTCAACCGGTTAGCGAATGTTTTATTCTTTAACCGGTTGAATCGCTTACCGCATCTTATACAAAAGCGTGAGGCCTAAGAGCCACTGCCATCTATGCGAATTTCATCAACATTATTATAGTGTACTAGCTTTCGCCAGCGGACCCTAGGAAAATGTTTAGTGGGATAAAAAGTATCCTATTATCTAAGTCAGCTAACACCCTATCTGTATACCAAATTTCATCAAAATCCATTCAGTAGTTTCAGCGTGATTGACCGACAAACATCCAAACAAAGAAACTTTCACATTTATAATATTAATAAGATTATACCTAATTACTTTTGTTCATTGCCGAAAGGTATGAAACAAGGCTGAGAGCGTTTCCTCTTATGTCTGATTCATCATCAGATCTTTAACGTCCTCACTGCAGGGGCTCAGACCTTCCTTATGGATGGATAATGAGGATAGTTCATGACCCGCTTCGCTGGCCTAATGCGGATTAGAAAGTATTGACGACACTGCAAATGCAGCCGGGACCAACGACTTAACGTGCCTTCTGAAGCACCGAGTAGCTCGAGATAATTATTTTTTCGTCACTCATTTCGTGACCGCCCGAAGTAACATATGTAATAATATATCTCTAAAAATTATATTTATATTCATTAACTAATAGTATTTCGTCTATGTTTTTCTGTAAGTGATATCCTTTGTCACTAGATACGGGAGCCCTCACCACTCCAGGTCACAGTCAGTGAAGGCTGGCAGGTCCAGGACTGGTGAACGACAACTCCTGGGGCTGCCGCAACAGAGAGCGAGGGTAGCCTCCATGCCCAACACTGGGGTAGAAGAGGAATACTACAGGTTGAGGCACTTCAGCATCACAGGTTAGCTCAGATTTGACAATTAACAACTTACCCCAATATATTTCCATTTCTTTTTCACAAAATTTCAGTAAATAGATTGATATTATTCTTATTATGCATACGAAGCTAACCTATAAATATCTGTTGCAATAAGTTGAACAAAGCAAAATAATATTATCAGTATTATGTAAGTATCATTGTAAACAGATGTTGGTTGGTCAAATAAATAAATAAATCAAATCAGATTTTTTTTTAAAGTATTGAATAGCCTTTGATAATCAGATCTCTACATTACCCTTAATTCAAAGCATTCAAAATTGTCTTGATCCTCGAATCATTTTAAAAGCAGTAAGGCGTTGAAGTTTGTCGATAGAGAGTCTTATATATACAATGCATGACCATCGTTCTAACCACTTTCTATCAAAGTATTAAATTTAACTTTAACTATCAACAAATTATTACTTAGATATGCATAATAAACTTTCTTTAATAATTTTGTCACTTAGGCAAAGGCGTTGTGAACCGTGGCGATTCTTTGCGGTCGCGACGTTCCAGGTCAAATACGTCAGTAGCATCCAGCGCTTCCAGTACAGAAGCTGTCACCAGAGCTTCGGCGCCGTGTTCATTAGCATCGTCAAGGTATACCAATCGTATTTTAATAATAATGCATTTAAAAAAACAATCAGTTGTTGTGTTTGTGTGTTTAGATTAAATCTAACTAGTTTCCATCGTCTTATTTATAACTGGAATTAAATATTTAGTCTTCTTTATGATTACCGAGATTTAACGGATAAATCAAGCAAAACCAAACATAAAATGCCACTAATTTTAAATATTTATCAGCCAAACAAGTTTTCGTATCAAACTGTTTTGAAACTAGGCTATACTGATTTATCTTACGATATATTTAGTTTAGATGGTCAGCTAATTGATTATTTAATTTTAAATACATCGTCTTTAACATACGTACTGTATTTTAATTATGAATGAGTATGCACAATACAGAATATTGCATTTGTTATTACATGATTGTAGTTAGAAACTGAATTAGTAGTCTAATGGAGAAAGAAAGCAGCCACGATCATTTTCCTGGTTTCCAGAACCATGAAGAGAAGAGGCAAAAATAGTAGGTCTCTTCGGTTTATTTTCGAATCACGAACGAATTTCGAAACGTTCTTATGATTTAGTTAAAATCATTTCAGCGGAGACTTATCTGTGCTCCAGAGGCTTTACATTCGTTGCATTTGCCAACAGAGTAGATCTTCAGGCAACTAATCGACAGCAGATTCACTTGCTTAAGTAAACAGTAGCTAACTATATGTGTATATTGATTACACTGCTTTCCATACCTGCCACAATGTTCCCAGTAACTTCTATGTTATCCCTGTCCTTTCTAGCAATGTACAAAATAACCAAAGCATCATTATCGGGTTTTCTTTCCGAGAAGTCTTAATCGGTTTTTTTATTTAACAGAGACTCTTCTGCTGGTCTAAGTGCATACAGAGTGCTCGTGTTAGGAGCCCCAGGTGTGGGCAAGTCTAGTCTGGTGGGACAATTCATGACATCAGAATACCTGCACGCATACGACACAAGTATAGGTATAAAATCTTACAACTATGTATTCTTCTATAGTAAAGAGGTAAGACTTGATTGATTGTTTGTTTGCATCCAATAGGCTCCAAATCTACTAGACCAATTTTACGAATTCTTTCACTTGCATAATACGCGGATGACATAAGTTATAATTTACGCGGGCAAAATCGTGGGAAAACAGCGAGTATTTAAAATGTTAGAAAAACAAAGCAAATTTGGAATTGGAAAACGAAAGTTAAGGATGAAAAGTAGAGAAAACAGGCAATGACAAAGTTGTTTTGTGATGTCTTACTAAAAGCAGAGGTTTTTTATGTCTCATTCAATGCGACCTGTTTTATAAATGAAAGAATAATGTTACACCGTGATTATACCGCTTGTAGCTGCGCCGAAATATCCAATCCTGTTATTAACAATCATTCTAATGAATATGGTTTTTATGAACTCACTTGACAATATCTCATTTTTCTGTTTACTCTACAACATCATTCACTTTTAGATGATGAGTCTGGCGAGAGATCGGTGTGCGTGCTGCTCGCTGGTGAAGAATCAGAGATAACATTCCTGGACTCACCCCCGGATCATGTCGTTGTGAGTCTTATAATAAATTTTAAAACTGTGATATCTCGTAACCTCCTCACAAATAGAAATTATGTCAATTTTTTTATCTGTCCATCACTTCATGGACTAAGATAATTGAAGAATATTAAACACGTATTTCCTTTTTTTGTTGAATTAATAAATTATGGAGATGCATAAAGATGAAGTGTCATATGACGTCACGCTTTCGTACATTTTCTACATAGTTGTAACGTAGCGAACTCCCACTCCTTAACTTTAATGCCTATTAACTTAATAAATTTAAGTAAAAAAGGTGTCTATTATTTTTCTTTTATCTGATTATTTAACTAAATAAAATTTTAGCCAGAAATCATTTTTATTCACTTGGTGGAAGGTTTATCAATTCCTGAGAATGCCCCGTCGAGGGGCTAAAAAGGATTATAGAGTAGAGAAGGATATTGCAAGATATGTTATCGTTTATACATGGGAATTACCATTTGTAAATGTGTGGATAGTGCACAGAAGATCTTGCAGATACTGATGACAATGAACTTAAACTAAAATGTTTCCAAAATTTCTCGGAACTTCCTTCAAATTATTTTTTTAATGAAAATTATGCAACTAAATATACTCAAAGTTATAATAATTCTCCACGAACCACCTAAACCAGGGACCTATTTATTTCATATCACTACATTTAATATCAAATTGGCTTGAAAATGGCAAGTTCATTGATTATAACCTTTGATAATATTTAACTTGTAATTTCTAAGAATATTACTACTTACTTTTGAAAGAACTTTTTTCTTCTGTTCATGTATCAGATAAGAATATTTTCTTCATTTTATAGTATGAAATTTCAGTGGTTTCTTTTACTGATCCATTGTAATATTTTGACTCGCAAGTAAGTCTAACACACCACACACACATAGTTATCCACCCCACATCGAGCTTACTTATTAAAATCGTCATTTCGCAGTCCGAAGGTTGCGCACACGGTTACTGCGTGGTATACTCAACAGCAGACAGAAGCAGCTTCGCTGAAGCTGAGAAAAGACTGCAGACTCTATGGGCGGCAGGGCACACGGCGAGACGAGCTGTCATATTGGTCGGAAACAAAGCTGACCTGGCCAGATCGAGGGTCGTCAACACTGACGGTCAGTAATAATTATCGATAAGATATTTTAACCAGACGGACATTTTACAGGATTTTTTTATAAACTAGCTGACTCGGCAAACGTTATTTTGGCATATAAGTTTGGGATGGGCCACCCACTTATACATATAAAATTTTATCAAAATTTCAAGCCTTTTTTTGTTACCATAGTTCTCGGTTACAAGAACTGTGACACGAGTTTTATATATTCGACTAACTGACCCGGTGAAGTTTGTACCTCTATATTTTATTTCTCCAGTCGCGAATGAGGATGTTTTTTATATCTATTTTATTATATCAAATTTTCCGGTTTGATGCAGTCGTTTGGAATTTATATACGTATTTATATTTCGACGATTCATTTTTATATATGATATATAGATAAAATAACACTTTATCATAAAACCAACGATTCAGTTAATAGCTTTAAAAAGATATTAAAAAGCGTTAATTGGAAAGCGCTGAATGAGGTCCTCTGGGCTGTTTCAGTGCTTCGCTTACCATCGATGTGTGTGAGTCAAAGGGCAGTACTTTGACTATCACCTTTATGGGTGTGTCTATAATAATCCTATTCCTAAGAGAGCCTTATAATAATATCGCTAAGCCCAAAAAAGTTAGTGGGATATGTCTCTTACAAAAGTGGTTACAGTGTCTACTAAAAGTATAAAATTTCTTACAATATTGCCTTAAGACTATAAGTAAGACCTGAAATATTTTTTTACTGTTATATTAGTTTCATCATTCTTTCATTGGGCATTTTAATAATATAGAGAAATAAAATAAGAGTTTTGTTTTACGAATGTGAAATTTTATAAGGATTTTTTTTATGTTTACGAAAAACCTGCTTAAAGTTTTTTTATGAAAAAAATATTTGATTACGAAAATCTGAAAAGTTAAAAAATTGATGATAAATACTGAATTAAATAGTCATTCTTTTATTTCAAACTAGCCCTTGGCCGTGACTGCGTCCACGTGGTAAAGTTACTTTGAGCAGCATTTCTAACGAATATTATTCTATATTTCTAACGAATCATAGCGGATGCCTACGTCATAAAATACCTGCATGACAAATTTCAGCCCGATCCATCCAGTGGTTTGGGATGAGCGTTGATATATATTTAGATTGAATATAATACTAATGGATGTTTAGAAATATAAACTTTCTTATTAATGTTTTTTTATTTTTTCCTTATAATTATCCTAATTTACAGTTTACACTCTGAGCTAAGCCAACGAGTCAAGGACCTCAATATAAATTCCAAAATTCTATTATTATTAAACCAATCTTGTGTTAGTAAATACAAAAAGTAAAGAAGTAATGTCTATCTGTATGTATTTACTGCATATTTGCGATGGCAAAATCCTAATTTATTTTATAAAGCAAAGTAAGCAGGTTACAACTTAAACGATAAAAGCTTCTTGGAATACTTAGTAAATCCATTCACTATCATTTCAGGCTCTCAATATATGTGTCAAAAAGTTTTTTTTCATGTTATCTTTTACTTTGTTACTAAGGCGTATCTATTTACTATTTATGAAAGGTTTTTCTACTAAATGGCTCCATTTTAGACCCTATTCACACAGCGCAACTTCTTTTCAAAACAGCCTAATCCCATAAAGGTTAGTTCCCACCGATAGACTGGGTACGCAGAATAGTTATATAAACCTATTATGTGCAAAAATATACTTACTTTTACCTATGCCGTATACGTATTCGTTTTTAGGATTCCGTATCAAATAAAGAAAAACCGGAAAAGTGCAAGCCGGACTCACACACGAAGGGTTCCCTTTTTTAACGCAGGGTAAATGAAACCTTAAGCCTTAAAAACAAGGCCCTCCGACCCCGCACCTGTCCTGAAACGGACAGGCTTAAGTGAGGCCGGCCTGTCTGGTAAAACCTGCTGCGAATACCCTCCAAGAGGGAAGGACCCGGGATCCGACAAGGTGCCCGCTGGGTCCACAAGAGGGGTTCCCTACAATTATCTATTTATAAACGAACAATGAAATCACGTTTGTTTTTATTGTTTTTTATTATTGTTTTTTTTTAGTATTTGTTATTATAATTATTATACAACAGAAACCCTACTAATGCTACTAATATTATAAATGAGAAAGTTTGTGAGGATAGATGTATGTATGTAACCCTTTCGCGAAAAATCTACGGGACGGATTTGGATGATATTTGGTATACGGGTAATTCTAAGACTGGATTACACATAGGCTACTATTTATCCCACAAAAAGTTGTCTAGGGACTACGCGGGCCCCTGGCGGAAAGCTATTAACATCATATGTAAAAACTGTCTCAAATCACAGTTCATGTAATACAACCTGGTCACATAGATAGACAGGCGGATAGCAGATCCATAAAAATGAAGCCTTTATAGTAGCAGTCTATTATCTGTCTGTCACAACAGATTTAATTCTTAATTTTTCCGAAAGTACTGGACCGATTGAATTCAAATTTGGTACATTTATTTAAGTTAGTGACCCAAAAACGGCCGACTAACGTACATAAACGAATTTGAAACATGGTGGCGTCATTTGGGGGTAATTTAGAAAATTGGTTAAGGTAAAAGGTTTTGCAAACATTATTACGTACATATCAAAGAAAAGGACTTTTGATAAGGATCTCAGATATTATTTTTCATATTTGAATTTAATAATGTTATTTAAGAAAATAGACGAAAGGGAACCATTCCCTGATCTCCGAAACTAGACAGTCTAATATGTTGTGCTAGTCCGACTCGCTCCTGACTGGTTATATTTTATTTGTTGTATTAAAAATTGAAATGTTCAATAAAAAAGTCTGTAATTTAATATAAATTAAAGATCAATATATGGCCCTATCAATGCACAATTTATCAATTACAATTATTATATAAATATTTAATCTGAATGTTGATAAAAATGCGCTCACTAAAAGTAAATGTAGAATATATATAATTAAGAAATTCGACAGTCTCATTAAGTGGGTGAATACACCAAAAGAACACTAACTTTCGATTAACTGTAAAACGATAAAACTTACAAACTTTCTGTAATGAAAAATAAGAAAACAACATCATATTTACAAAGTTGTATCACAGCCAATGCGTTAAAACTACTCCGACGTTTAGCCCAAAATTTAATGAAGAATTCTATGATTGTATACCACATTTTGATCTATATTATGTTATTGTGTATGTTATGTGGTTTCGACAATAGATTATAATGTTTCATTCTTTATAAACGTGAAGGTTTGGTGATAATAAATTAAAAACGATTTTATACGTGCGTCACTCTCTGTGCTTATCTATCTCATTGACGGACGTGTAGATTTGGCCTCACGTTCTCTTTTGTCTCTATTCCCTATCTTAAGGTCTCAGCAGCTTAAGCATCGTTAAGGCTTCAACTTATCTCTCAAAATTTCATCATCATCAGTGCATTGCTGGACATAGGCCTCCTGCAATACGCTTTTTTTCCTATTTTTGGGTTATTCTCATCCAACTTCTACTCGTGAACTCCTTAAATCACCACTCTACCTTGCTCTAATATTTGATGTAGTTAAATTGTCAAGTATCTTTCTATATGAAGCTGTCGTATTGTCTATGCGATTATAGCAATTTTCATCGCACGGAATCTATAATTAAAAGGATCAATAATTAAATAGGCGACTATCGTGACGCCATCTTTGATACCTTAGGCTTAATTCCCGATGGGATCAATAGCTTTTGTAATTTTTTGTTTTAGATAACAATAAAAAACAAATTATGGTCAGTTGCACTAACATTCATTACAGTGCTATTAATAAACAAGGTTAAGCGTCAGATTAAAATTACTCTAAAATAAGCATACCTTCTGATTTCTAGGAGTAAATATTATTCCCGTAAAACCTCCTACTTAACCTTGGCGAAGTCTCTGTTTAATAATATGAATTTTGTCTTATACTAAGTGCAGTCCCAGCGCAAATTTACTCCAACGCTAAACCTTGTTTATCAATATGTTAAGGTTCAATGACGATTTTAAGCTCTAATGCTTGTTCTAAATTCTAAAATTTGTATCGATAATATCGCTTTAACTGATGATAACAGATACAGTTAGTTTGAGATGTGTTCTGTTATAGTTAGTTCTATTATAATATAAATGTCACATGCAACGAGCAAAAAATAAAAGTTGAGTTTATTAAAGAAATAAACTGTGTAAACGGGGCTGTTAGAGGGAAATTTTATCTGATACATAAATAAAGTCTCATGCAAATAGGCGTTCCGAATAATTTTATTAACGTAGAAACAAAATAGCGTGCGAACGACACCGACACGGTACGAGCAAAACAGTTTTTCCTTTCCTCGTTTTCGTAGGAAACATATTATTAAACTTTTAATGAAACCAAACCGTACACTCATGTTTCTGAAAGAAACAGTTTTGAAACAATTATCGGCAGAAAAAATGTTAAGAACAAAAACTTTTATACATATATATTATTTATATGTGGGAATGGTAGTAACAGTAATAATAATTTATAAGTGTTCCATTGTAGAAACACTTTCTATCTCTGACGGATTTACCATAATAGAATAGCAAAGTAAAAGGTTTGTAGATTTTAAAAATTAATTATTAAACATCTCGTACCCCGACAGGACTAACGAATTTTTCAAGGACTTGATACTTTTCGCTACTACATAGCGTGTTTTCATCAATGTTCAAGCAATCTACACAAAAAAACTTTTAAAATGTTTTTACATATATTTAAAATTTCGATAAAGATGAAAATTTGTTCTAATTATTAAAAAGTAATAAAAGTAAATTATTAATAAGATAGGTTCTGGGTAGTTCAGTGGTTAGATCAATCACCTGGATTGTAAATAGTCATGGGTTCGAGTCCCATCTCAAAGTGCCAGGGACAAAGTGGAACTTTTAGCATTTTTCATTAAGATTTTTTTTTAATTTTTCTGTATAGCATTGTGCATTCAAAATTGATAGGTAATATCTTTCAAATGATGAAGTTTAAATAAATTGATCTACTACTGA